GTACAATAAACACAAGTTATGATACATAATGTTCCAAAATCGGTTCGCTTTCCGCGCATGACGTAGTCAAGACCGCTTATTCTCTCAACATTTGATTGTAGTTGTATAGTAAAGTTTTTTAATACATTTTGGCTAATTTAATTATAGTAATTATAAAGACATGATAAAATTATATTATTATAATATTTATTCATAAATAAAATTTTTAAGTTAATTTAAGTTTATTGATTTTTGGTACAGTTATTTGTTAAGATGATTAAAAACACTAAATAATAAAGACTAATAATTAATAAAATAAAGATTTAGACTTACGTCGTTGACTTAGAAGTAGTAAGAAGCTGCACAACATACTTTTGGACTCTCTGTCTTCGCTCTTTGTATGCGTTTCTTTTGGTTGGTTGAAAGGGTAGCCGATTTTGATGTAGGAAAATAAAGACTAGGTACTGCCTCAGTTTAAGTTTAAGACCCTTTTTAGAAACGTAATTTAAAAGTTTCTGTTGTCGATTTCTTTGGTGATTTTCAGTTTTAAAATGTTTAGAACAAATTCTTGCAATATTACAATTCAAATTATCCTGTGTACAACAAAATAATATCCACAGTTTTCTGGTCAAACTATCTTTAGGAAATGTATGAAACCTAAAGATTTTATCTCCATTGTCACTATTGAAACAAGAAACTGCACAGTGCATTTGAAAAAGGTACAAAACCAGATATACAATGACAAATAAAATGCTATATAGTATAAATAAACACTAACTCAACACCACAAGTACACATAAGTCTCAGACACAGGCGCGCCTTACTGGTAATTTTTTTACGCGCCTCGTCTAGGATACGGGCGCCGATTAAATTTTAACCCATCAAATTTTTGAAGCCTTTGCGAAGTGGATATTTGTATAAAGAGACAAATATGTAAGCATATAATCTAAATTATTTTTCTTTTATCAAATAGATGACTCAATTAGTATTAAGTTACTTTAAATGTATTTATTATCTTATAACTTGTAATTTCCATCGTCACCCACCATTGATAACCGATATTATTGTCGAACTTTTGTTTTTATACAAGCCTTCTGTCTTGTCGGTGTAAAGTCGTCCTGAAGTCGATATTTATTGTGTTTTGCGTTTGAACTAATTGTGCCTTATTTTCATATTATATATCGTCCCCTTAATACTACAACTAGGTAACTCGAAATTTTACGATTTTGAGTTATCTACCGTTACCAATATAATTTTTGACGCTCTTTTTAATACTACAACTAGGTAAGTTCTATGCCCATTCTATACATGAAAATCCAATTACACACTAATAGCTATGTCATAAGTTGGAAAAAAAAATTGTTGCTAAAAGTGGTCATATTGAAATATCTAAATGTGCAACTGACAACGCCAAAAATTTCTGCTGCAACAAGTGTTTAACTTGACATACCTAATTGTGCGCCCGGGTAACTCGTGTTATGCGTTGCCTCCTCCGGATATTCTTTAAGATACCTATTTGTGCAGTTCATCATAGCATACGTTGTGAGTGACATTGTTGCTTTATTTTTCGTAATATTTTTTGAAACAAAAGTAAAAATGTCTACAAGAGCCAAATATATATTAAGATTAGTACGTGACCAGTTAACAGAAACAAAAGGTGAGTGTTTAAATACTATTTGGAAAAATAAATTTGTTAAAATCGTGGGAGAGCTTATTTTTATAGGTTAGGTATTTGTCGATTCATTAGTTTTTGAACATAAATATAAAATTGATACCGTAGGATACCATTTTTATGTGATAAGCATAATATGCCGAGTATGCATATTATGGTGAACTTATTTTTAGAACTTATTTAGTAAAACCTATGAAAATAAATTTGTAAAACGCTGTTGTTTAAAAAGTTTTAGGTTATCATTATTTACATTTTTTAGCGGTTTAAGACTAAAAAACTATTAGACTATTTAAGATTCGTTAAAGTTTTTTAAATAGTTGTTTTTTGTAAAACGTATAGGTAGGTATCTTTCATTCGCAAAATTTAAAAATATAAACATTTCTTTAAACTTAGTTTAAAAAGTACTAAAGTATTTTTTATTTTCAGATGAGAATACTGAGGTCCTTCCATCCACTTCTAAACAATGTTATAACGATTCGGAAACAGACTCTGATCCCTATTCTCCTGATCACTCGGAATATGATCCGGACTCTGATGATTCTTCTGACAATGAACTTGCTCTCGGAAATGGAACTTTTCAAACTATTAACAACGACTTGCATGACATGGAAGAGTTGCCTGTTACGACAGATAAGTCAAGAAAGAGGAAAAGAAATGAACAAAACTGGAAAAGAAATATTGCAAAATCAAGAAAACAACGCGGCGAAGCATACTTATCTTCTAGGGGTAAATACGTACCAGGAGTAGTCATGAAGGATGCTTGTTTAGCTACCTGTAAACGAAAATGCACAGAAAAATTTTCCTATGAAGAGAGATTGTCGATTTTTCGAAGATATTACCAGTTAGAATCCTATGAAAGAAAACGAGACTTTATTAATGGCCATACAGAAAAGAAAGATAAAAAATGGCATACTGCAGAACAGTCCAGACGTCAAAAAACCATTTTATTCTATTTACCTAAAAATTCGAATAGAATCCAGGTTTGTAAAACCATGTTTATCAATACCCTGGGAATTCGAAAAGGAATTGTAGACATAGCTATGAAAAAGAGAACTGAAGAAAACACGACTTTGGTAGACAATCGGGGAAAACATACAAAAAAGATCACGTCACCTGCTATCCTAGCAAGTGTAAAAAACCATATTGAGAAGTTCCCTGTAGTCAGTTCACATTATTGCCGTTCAAAAACACAACGGAAATATTTATCCTCAGACCTTAACATCACCATTATGTATTCATTATACAAGAAAGAATGCGGTGAAAACAATCAAACACCAGCTAACTCTGCCATTTATAGAAAGGTATTTTCAGAGGAATATAATCTTGGCTTTTACCGACCTCGTAAAGACCAGTGCCGGGTTTGTATGGCCTACAACTCCCCCTTAAGCGATAAAGCATCTATGGAAACCGAATATCTCACTCACATAGCAGCCAAGAACAGAGCCCGTGATGAAAAGAGATTAAGTAGACAGTTAGCAGAAAATTCTAACGGTACACTCATAAGTTGCAATTTTGATCTTCAACAAGTTCTTTTGGTACCAAATGACCCAACAAATAACGCTTTATTTTACAAACAAAGACTAAAAGTATTTAACTTCACCATTTATAATACAGTGTCTAAACAGGGTGATTGCTTCATGTGGACCGAGGTTGAAGGAAAACGAGGCAGCTGTGAGATTGCCACTTGTTTATACCAATACTTTGAATCTTTGCCGGAACAAGTAACTCAGGTTCAGTGTTTTAGTGATAGATGCGGTGGACAAAATTTAAATAAAAACGTCGCTAGTATGTGCTTAACAGCTGTTCAACATATTCCACATTTGGAAAGCATTGAACTAAACTTTCTAGTTTCCGGCCATAGTGAAATGGAGTGCGACTCCATGCACTCAGCCATTTCAACAGAGTTCAAAAGAGTAGGCAAAACACATTTACCACAAGATTGGAAAACAATTGCTAGATGTGCCCGGAGAAAAGGAGATAAACCGTACATCATTCATAACATTACTCACGAACAAATATTGGATTGGAAAAATCATGCGGATAAAATTTTAATTTTCAGAGGTAAGGACGAAAGTGGGCAGCAAGTAGCATGGCAGAAAATGTGTTGTATGTTCTTTTCTAAATGTGAACCATCCATTATGAAATTTAAAGAAAACTTTAACGAAGAATTTAGAACTTTAAATTGCCAGAGAAGGACAAAATCGACTCAAAATATAACTACAATAATGCCATATCCTTTGTATAAGGACAGAATCCCTATTAGTCTGGAAAAATACAAGGATCTATTGACATTGTTTAATACCAAACCTCCCGCAATTCCTCTGGAAAATAAGGATTATTTTGAAAACCTGCCTTTTAAAGCAACAGGAAGAGAAGTATCAAGTGAATCTGACATAAGTGAGACCGAGTGAAAGAAAAATATTGGCTATAATTATTAGTTAAGTTCTTCTACTTTTTTTGTTATATTTTGATCAAAATATGTTAATAAATTTCTTTTTTGGTATTAAAAAGTTGTACTTATTGTTACGTCGACAACTAGGTATATTTAATTTTTTTAAAAATTTTAATTGCTACAACTAGATATCTTGATTTTCAACAACAAAAAAAACTAAAACAAGGCTTTAGAACGCTTACAATTAATCAGAAGTTAGATTTATTTCAACTTCTTGTTATAAATAGTAAGAAAAAAATTCATTTACTGTAATACAGCACGGTTTGTTTCTTTTCAAATTTAAAACTGCTCTCCTGAAAAATAGCAAATTTTGAGTTACCTAATTGTAGTATTAAGGGGACGATATTGTTTGGTAAGTAAATTTTGCATATAATAATCGGTAAGTTATAATAATGTGTATATTTTTATTTTACTGAATTTTATTATAACTCATCTAAAATACCATATTGAATTATAAATCAGATTTTTCTTTATTGTAATCTATTTTGTTTTTACTTCAGTAAAACTGCTTGTAAATGAGTGACATTGAATCAAATACGCAAATCTAATACCATTTATCTATTCACAGTATTTATACTTCACAATTTTTTAAATGTCTAGATATTTGCATACAAAAAGAGTGCTTATATTATTAGTATATGAGAATACTACTGAAAATATATTTTTTTATTCAATTATAACCAAAAAAAAGAGACGGTTTTCTTAACCCTATTTTAAGAAATTTTAGGTGAATTTATTGTTATAAATTAATAGTGAGATTTTACCGCGGTGTCCTGCATAAATATATAAGTTAGTAGTATAGTGAAAGTAAGTTTTTTTAAGGTTTAAATTATTATATTTAAATCTAGGTTATGTGTTAGAGGGTGTCCAATATCTAAAGCTACTATATGAGTATTTTCAGTTGTTGGACATCTGTCCTAAATCGACGCTGAAATTTAAAATTATAATTATATTATAATTAAATTATAAATGCTGGTCATAAAGACACATGCGGTACAAATCCAATTTTTTCGACAAGCGAAAAGTTCTTGAAAGGCAAAGTTAATTTAGTTAGGTAAGATGTTCAACTATGTTAAATGATTTTTTTTTATAAAAGTCCGTAAACTAATTTTCGAAACCAAATTTAGATTTTAGCTTTAATCTGTGCCTTCTAAGAATTGCAAGGCAAAACAGACGTTGATAAAGATGTTATTAGAGACATGGAGAATCTAAAATTTGCATTCCACGACTTATCTCCTCAACTTAGCAAAAATCCCTAGCGAATTGGTTTCTTGTACTCGTTGAGAGTAACTGGAATAAAAAGGGACAGACAGTTAAGATTTGATTTTACGTATAGTGCGTCTATGTAGCCGCTTATACGTATTTCGGCCTAATAGGCCTCGTCAGAACGGCAATTCATAGTCGCTCTGAACGTAAAAATAAATCTTTTTTGTCTTAGGAAGCAACTCTAACATTCTTCGAATGGACGCAAATAGCGACATCTGATATTAGAATCAGTAAACTAATTTTCAAAACCAAATGCAGATTTTTGCTTTATTGTGTGCTGTTTAAGAATTACAAGGCAAAACAGACGTTGATAAAGATGTTAATAGAGACATGGAGAATCTAAAATTTGCATTCTACGACATATCTCCTCAACTAAGCAAAAATCCTTAGCGAATTGGTTTCTTGCACTCGTTCAGAGTAATCGAAATAAAAAGGAAAAGACAGTTAAGATTTGGTTTCACGTATAGTGCGTTTATGTAGCCGCTTTAAAAATAGCAGACCTGGTGATAGTTGGTTCAAGTAATCAGGTAAAAGGTAAAAAAGGATATTTGTAAAATAGAGATGAATAAAATAGCAATTTGTAACGTTATAAACGTCACATCTCTATTAATTTATATTTAAATAATTATTTCATTTTAATTTCTTTATTAATTTTTTAATTTGTTTATCTTTTACTATCTTTTTGATTTAAAAAGTAGTTGGCGCCCTCTCTGTCCATTTATATTTCTTCCCCTGTTTTTATTTCTTCCTCTGTCATTATTTCCTCTCTCTTTCTGTCACGTAGAATAAATATTCGCCCTCTCTCTTTGTGTTCTGTGTTGACAGAAAAGTTAGTTTCATAAAATAGCAACATCCTATGACATCTGTGCTAACTTCAAGTAGTTTCCCACTTTCTGTCAAAACAACTTCTAATGTAGTGGGAATATAATTTTTTGTCTGATTTTGATTTTATAAAAGAAGGCAAAAATTATAATTAGACTCATTTTATGGTCTACCAATTCTCGTGGGGTAAGTACTTTCATTGTCATATTTATTCTACAATTCTGACCGCATTTCCGACACTTCTAACCTTACTTTCTTTCCAAAGCACATTGTTTTTTTTTATATAAGCATTAGGACTCTAACAGAATTTAACTAACAATCATAGTAACAATCATATTTCATTTAATCCTTGCCATACGCTATTTCTGTAATTGTAACTTTGTAAGATGGCAAGAAAGTTAAACATTTTTTCTTGTTGTGTCTATAATGGAAAACTATTCATTTTGTTTATAGTTTATCGGGAATATACCCTTTCATTAGGAATATTTAAAGCAATTCAATATACCAATCAGCAATATCTACATTTTACTGGAGTTACTGACCACATAGGACCACGTGTAACTGCAGTTCTCCAACCAACAACATTCCATTGCAGGACCTAGCAGCTAGGACACACAAGTAGCCATCGAATAAAGCAATAAGTATTGCATTAATTGTTAAGCTTTGGCAGGGGTCTAATATTGTGGTTTTTCTTTTAAATAAACGTGTTTGGTTAAAATTTGTTTTATTTGCTATCAACTGAGAACTCAGGTTCAATCCCTATTTTAAGACAAGACGAACTCACCCTTGAGATAATGAGCTAGGCAAGGTATAGACGATAAGCTCCCATGGTTGATTGAAGTATTATTTTCACAATATTACTTCAATTCTCTTTGGTAGTCTTATCGTTACACACTTTATATTGTAGGATTTCCTAAAAAGACATCTAAAAACTGTGCAGCGAACAAGTGAATCAGTAAGTGGTGCTTTATATATTTGAAAGATATAAACAGTTATATGAATATGGGTAATTATATGGAAGTTTGATGCATTTTTTATTTGAATGCAGTTTTATTTTACTCTTCCCATAATGGATCATTTTGCTCTGTACCCTAATGTTATTGTTCAATCAAACTCTTTCGACATTTTAACATGAAAATTATTGTTATATACATGCATTAATCTCATCCTCAAATGTAAAGGGAGGAATAACCGGTAATTTATGTCGTAAGATAGCATTACCAAATATGTAGTTTGTCATTGCTGTTTAAATCTTGCATACTTCTATGTAATGCTGCGAGTGAATATTTATGAGCCATAGCACATTCATCCCAGATAATAACTGAACGTAATCAGTAATATGGAAATATATCTTGGAGAGTCTAAGTCCCAACAGTACCGAAATGGTTAAGGATTCAATTTTCTAACCAAAAGAAAAAAACATATTTAAAAAATAATGTAGAAATATTTAAAATGTTTTTTCTACTCTCTTACTAGTAAATTGTATATTACCTACTATTTGGATGCTAAGTAAATGCATTATAACAGATACTGGCAGGTAATGACTAGCACGTAATAAAAAAATACGCTTCAGTTTTATAAAAACGTGTAATATCACATAAGCCTCGTAAGTCAGTTGGTCGAGTTACCATGGAAACGAATTAACAGACGTTATTTTGACAGATTAAAAATTATTAATCTGTCAATGCAAATATAGTGGTAATTTAATTTTTCTTTTTATAAACGAAAATAGTCATAGAAAAAGTATAGTACACAACTTGAGTTGTAAGCTTATTAAGCGAGTAAAAAAGTTGCGCGCAAGCCGCTTAGCGGCGAGCGCAGTAATTTTACAAGCATGTAATAAGCTTCTTACAACTCTCGTTATGTAATATACTATTATTATATGAATAGATGTACACTAAATAATTATTTTAGTCTAAACGTTTATAAAATGAATGAAATTTAAGCTTACCCTGCTTTTCTGACGGCGCCTGTGCAGTTGAACGAAGCAGCAGCAGTGCCAGTTTGTTTCGCCTTGTAAGGAGAGTTCATAACGCTCTCACCGTCATCTTCATCGGAGACTGCCGTCGTCAGGGACATGCGGTCATCGTCCGAGATCTGGAAAAAAGTTGAAATTTATAAAAATTATGATTTTTATACAAGACAGTATTTAATTATTTTATTATTATTTGAACAAGAATAAAAAGAACATAAAACAAGTTTGACACATTTAAGATTACTTCAGGCAATCAAATAAATTGATTATCTTTTGAAATTGCTAATTTAGTGAGTAAATTTGTCTTTATATTATAACGCTGATTTAAGCATCTCAGAAACTTAAGATTAAAAATAAAATCTCTCTCTTTTTCTTTCTCTCTCTCTCTCTGTCTCGATCTCTCCCTTGCCGTTACCTCCTAATTGCTGATCAAAATTTCACCTAATACAGTCAACTAGATTTTTCCATTGGCATCTATCTTTAGCTGCCCTAAAAGATTTCAAAGAATAAACGGTCTGTTAAATGCCGCATTTAATCAATTCAATGAATACGTAAGCGTCCCCTTGCTCTTCTTTCTGGAACGTTTACGGAAACAAAAAGTCCTTCGAAATTCTACAAATAGAGCGGATAATGTGCATTTTTTGGCACGTAGCGATTCCAGTAGTACCTCCTACTCAAAAAGAGTATTTCCAACTCAAAAAGAGTAGTTGAAAATCTTCTACTTGTGAAGGGTAAAGGACTAAAGGTAAAATACTGGTATAAGACTTACTTAGTCGTTTAAGACTCGTTTAAGTCAAAGCCTGATGTTGAGTATCAGAAGCTTGTAGTCATTTTCATGTATAAACTCAAAGTCGATAAAGTTAACATTAGAGAAGTAATGGGATTAAGATATCAAGTACAAAGAGCAACTAAATTAGCAGGATGCATTAATAACAATATATGGCGAAACTAATCATTAATTGTGAGATAAATTCAATATTCTATAAGGCCAGTATAAGACCAATAATGACTTACCTACTCATTAAGAAAAAGATTAAACAAAGCTAAAATACACAGAAAAACAGAAGACACAAGATACTCATAAGACTTACAGGAAACACTCTGAGAGACCGAATAAGGCGTGACGATATTAGAACAAAATGTAATGAGCAGAATTTAAACGAGTAAACACCAAAAAAGAAGAATGGAACAGTACCATCAGTAGAATAGCGGATACAAATGATGTTAAGAAAGCAAGGGAAAAATCAGCAAGTGATAAAAGAAGTATCAGCTGACCGCGCAAGAGTAATAATCTTTCAGAGATGCAATAACCTGCCAATTAACAATCAAAATTGCTTATAATAAGAAAGCAGAAGGAAATAAATCAATAGGGTTCTTTATGCCTGAGGAAATGCTTAATCGACTCTACAATCAACATAGCGAAAAGCTCGGGTTCGCTCGAAAAATATTTTCATGAGATTTTTTGAAAGTGATACCCCTCTAAACCATTACTTCAACTGTCCTTTGTACATGCCTCTCAGCAGCAAAACCCAATATCTCGTCGCTCTCCGTGGTGGCGTCGTACTATCCTACGATTATCATGCATTCCTAAAGAGAATCACGATTCATCGCTGAATGCTACATTACGCCATTTTGCTACCTAATGCTGGAGTTCTCTGCACCAATTCAAACGTTCATGACAGTGGTCCGCAGTCAAAGGAAGCACTAGTTTTGGGCGAATGAAACCAGTCCAAAGGCTCGAATACGACAGTATAGTGTACGCATACTAAAAGGTCTACCTACTACTCCAAATCATTGATCAGCAGTTTGACGCGTAGCTAGTAGCAAAACGGTCCCGCAGAGCCAGAGAGCCAGTAATCTAAAGCGCTTATCTTGACTCTCTGGTGGTAATTTTGGTGTCTTTAAACTCGAGGTATTTTCTTACACTGAATACAATTAAACGGAGGAATAATAACTAAACATTTTTATACGAACCAGTTTTCACAAATTGGTCTCTATACAAAAAAATTTAAAAATAAATCTTTATTTTTACAAGAATCAGAAAATATACAACATTGGTATTGTTATCATAGCATGTTTTAAATATAGTCATTCTGTTGAAAAAAAAAATTAATTTCAAAAAATATTCCTGCTGGTGTAACACATCTAATGTCACTAAGTATAAAATAGGCCGAACATCCTTATAGGGAAATGATAGAACAAGGTTTGAAATTGAATGTCCTTGGTGAATTCAAAAATTATGGTTTTTACTTATGTTTTTGAGCCTTAAAAATTGTACAGTTGCGTTTATGTCAGTTTTAAATTATTTATAACTTGGAAGCAATCAAGTTTACAGAAAAAAGATACTTATTTTGTTCAGAATAATTCAAAAAATTCCAAAAAAATGTCCAAGCTGAAAAAGTTAATTATTAGAATTTATTAAAAAATTGCTTGGGGAACTTAAACCATTGCTTGGGGAAAGTAGGACACTAGATCGATAAATTGTCCATAGGATACAGACTGCTTGGGTTAAATGAAAGTGAATAAGCGGGTACTCTTCAATCGAAAAATCGGGGATAGTCAGAAAGGAAAGATATACAAAAGTGTGGTCTGAGTTGGTGTTAGGAGGTGAATTCAAGCCTCCAAACAAAAATTTAAGAAAAGCAGATAGAGGGTAGCTAAAATAAAAATATTAGGGTGGATATTATGGATAAGACTAGGTAAGACTAATACAGGATCAGGAATGACTTAATTAGGAAATTAGTCTGGGTTATTACAGTCCCAAAAACATTCACGAACAAAGATTGCATTGATTTTTGGTCATGTTAGACGTAGAAATAGAAACTTTGTAGGACAAAGGATAACAGCTATTCCAAGTTAATTGAATAAGAGGTAGAGGAAAATCGAGAATGTATGTATGAATTGTGTGGCAGAGAAGTTGAGAGACAACGATTTAGGTGATAAATACATACAAAACACAAATGAGGGACGAAGAAGGTGAAGGAACAGAAAAAAGCTTAAGAAATACAAAAAAAAACGAAGAATATTATAAAAGAGAGTTTATTTAGTGTAACTTTGCAACTTACTTAACAAATCCCAAGACATAAAAACTCGAACAACGTTAATCTGAGTTTCTGCGAAAATTCTATCTTCTATTTTTGATTAAAATTCTTATCCCACGTAACAACTATCTCTATCTATCTATACAGCCCTTAACATCCATCCTTGGATATAGGCCTCCTCCTCCTTCTTCCATGCCTCTCTATCTTGGGCAATTTGCATCCATTTTGACCCAGCGTGTTTCTTCAGGTCATCTGACCATCGCATTTGTGGCCTTCCCCTTTTACGTTTGTGATCCCATGGTCTCTCCAATGTATAATTGTTTTAGTCCATCTTTCATCCTTCTGCCTTAGGGTGTGTCCGGCGAACTTCCATTTAAGCTTTGCTACTTGGGTTGAGACATCTTTCACTTTTGTTTTATTACGGATCCATTCGTTTCTTTTTTTGTCTGATAGTTTAATGTTCAGCATTTGTCTTTCCATGGATCTTTCACGTAACAACTAATCTTTTAAAATTATACACCAATCATGTAAAATATTACTACTTAAACCAGCGGTGCACGGTTGGATCTGTCGGGGCCATTAAGTTTTTCTAATATCTCTATTCGGTCAGCGAGTCTAAGGACGGTCCTGGTGGTCTAGGTACCTTTCGACGGCATGGCCAGCTATAATCCTTCAGTTACTAATGCTTATTGAAGCGATAGTGTCGATGTTATCTGTTTTCGTTTTCTCAGACCCAACCCATTCCTTAATGTAAATATTATTTTATGAAAGTACAAAAAAAAATTTGCAGTGCATTGTTTTTAGAGCTTAGCAAAATAATGTATTCTTACGATGGAAAGGTAAAACGTTTGCAATGTCTCTACGAGGAAGTTGCAACTGATGAGGAAGAAAATTATGAAGATTCAGATTCCGATGAGTTGAAAAATCAGAAAATGATGATGGTAATCATAACTAAGACTCTAAATTCGATTTATCAGACATCGAACTAAACTTACAAGAATGTATTCAACAAGGTGGATTAAACCAACACCTTTATTACAATACCAAAGATGAAATAAAATGAAATAAAACATGCGGATCACGAAATGTTAGAACTAGACGAGGAAATATCATCACAAAGCTTCATAGAGTTATTGGTAAAGCAAAGAGTTTCACAACTGGAAAGGAATGCTGGAAACTGTGTTTAATGACAAAATTATAAAAAATATTGTTGAATGTACTAATGTATATGTCAATCGTGTGTCCATGAGATATAAAGAAAGTTTCAATGCAATGCTAACAAACATATGTGAACTGAAAGCTCTGATTGGTCTGCTTTACTCAGCTGGAGTTTACCGTGGAGGTAGAACTTCAATTTTTGAGTTTTGGGAAAAAAATGGTACGGGCATTGACATTTCGGACATATGGTACGAGCATATGAAGTGAATTAATATATAGTCATAGACATAGTCATATTGAATTCACAATAAAAACAGAACAAAATCAATCCATAAATTTTTTAGATTTAAAAATTAGCAGACTTCAAAACAAACATGACTTCTCCATATTTCATAAACCTACCCATACTGACACGACTATACACAATTCATCATTTCATCCAACACAACATAAAATGGCAGCTTATAGATTAGTATGTTACATAGATTAACAGAAATTCCGATGTCAAAATACAACTTTGATACAGAATTAAATATAATTAAGCAAATAGCAGTAAACAACGGATACAACGAACAAACAATTAATAAAATGCTAAATCAAAAACTACACAAGAAATCCCTGAAATTAGTATTTTCACCACCAAAGAAAAAACCCAGTACCTTCTGCCCGATTACATATACAGGCAAAATAACAACAAAAATTGCCAAACACATAAAAAAGAAAGGAATAACACCAGCTTTTCGAATAAATAACAACCTAGGCAAATATCTTAAAAATAACAAGAGCCAAAATAAAAAAACACTTAAATAGTGGTATGTACAAACTTCAATGTGGCGACTGCCCAAAAACTTACATCAGTCAAACTGGTAGAAACTTTAATAAACGAATAGCGGAACATAAAAGGGTTTTCAATAATAGAAAAA